AAAAAGAAGGGTCAGCTTCATCTGGTTCTGTCTATGAGAGGAGTAGCCCATGTCTATTATAAACTCATGTAAGATCCCTACTTTTATCAATGTGGGATCCTTAACATGCCCCCTCAAGATCATAGCTCTTTTGGCTCATCGATCTTGGCCGGATCCCTTTTTTGGACCGGATGCTCGTTTGAGCTTTTGGGTATATCCTTGTTTACAAACAGCCTTTGAAAATCGCCCGAACCATGCACGTGGGGATTGTTTTAAACCATAGAGAGATTTCTTCAGCTTACACACCTTTCCATCATACTTATCAATGTCAAATCCAGGAGGAAAGTCCATGTACACCTCTTCTTCCAAATCTCCATTGAGGAATGCATTCTTGACATCCAGTTGTTGTAGTTTCCAATCCAGATTTGCAGCAAGGGACAAGAGGACACGGATGAACACGAACTATGTTCGGTAAACGTTGGTTCCTTACCTTCACTTATGACCACACTAGGGTTTGTTGGGTCTATTTACTTAAAGAAAAATCAGAAACTGCATCAATCTTTCAACAGTTTCATTCTCTCATTCATAATCAATTTGAGAATTTATTTCTTCTCTCTTTTCTCGTGTATGTCTCTCTGGTGTCTCTATCCTTAGTTTTTATGGTATCAGAGCTAGGTTTAGATTGACACCAAAATGGTTAAAACAGCCATGATGACTGATGTGCGCAAGGATGAGAGTTCCGACGGATCGAATACGACCTCAATTTCTCTCCCTAAAAGCACATCCACGACACCTCACATCTCTATCTCTGAAAACACTTCGCTCCAAAGTACCTCTCCAAAACTCAACGAAAAAAATTTTCTACAATGGTCTCGATCGGCCCTCCTAGTTATTCGTGGCCGCAGTCGACTCGGGTACATCAGTGGCACGGTAGCAGAACCAGATGAAGCTGACCCTTCTTTTTCCGTATGGGATGCACAAAACTCAATGGTCATGGCATGGCTCATTAACTCGATGGAGGAGGACATTAAAGAATCCTTCATCTTCTACTCAACAGCAAAGGATCTTTGGAGTGCGCTCACTATGGCTTTTTCTGATTTTGATAACTCGACTCAATTGTTTGAATTACGCAATAAGGCACATTCCTTACGACAAGGTGAATCCGATGTCACCCAATACTACAGCTCATTACGTAGGTTGTGGGCTGAACTTGATTTATGTCTCAATCTCGAATGGGAGAACTCGAAGGATGCTGAACGCTTCCGCAAACACGTCGAGAAGGAACGAATTTATGATTTTCTTGCAAGTCTTCGTCCGGAATTAGATGATGTGCGTGGCCGCTTACTTGCCACAAAGCCAATCCCAGCCATTGACGAAATCTTCTCAGAAGTTCGCTGGGAGTCAAGCCGTAAACGTGTGATGATGGGTGATACACCCACAAAACCTCTGTCCCTCTCACTGAAATCATCAATTCTGGCGGCACGAGGTCCACCACCACCTTCATCCCGATCTACTCGTTGGAACAACCTATGGTGTGATCATTGAAGCGCACAAACCATACAAAAGATCGGTGTTGGGAACTCCATGGTCGTCCTCAACGGAAGAATTTATCAGGGGATTATCGGCCACATCGACCTACAAATACTCCACCTTCTGGAACCAGCTCCTCCGACTATCAAGTGGGCCCTAGTGTGTCCAACTCCCGAGATTTGGCCACCTCTCTTCCTCCATTTTCGAAAGGCACAACTTGAATAGCTCTATCACCTCTTAACACTGCCGGTTGAGTCTACTCCTTCGTTCAAGTTTTGTGGCACAACGAGGTATTTTCAGTGCAGCTTTAACAAGTCAGCAGCATTCCGATCAGTGGATCTTAGATTCGGGTGCAACTGATCATATGACCACTTTTCATGATATGTTTACCATGTACTCATCTAACCCGATTCAGACACATGTCAAGCTTGCAGATGGGTCATCGGCCATTATTAAGGGCTTTGGTTCTGTTATTCTTAGCCCAAACATTACATTGCACTCAGTGCTCCATGTGCCTAAATTGTGTTGCAATCTAATTTCTGTTCAGAAGTTGACTCATGATTTAAAGTGTCAAACCCTGTTCACTGACTCTAAGTGTTTGTTTCAGGACTTGATAATGGGAACGACGATTGGCAATGCTGATGGCTTTGAAGGGCTCTACTACTTCAGAGGACCAAATCTAAGAAATAAACAAGTTCTCCAGGTTGGTAGTGAGTCGAATTCTAGGGAACAACAAATTCTACTTTTACATCACCGTTTAGGGCACCCGAGTTTTCAGTATCTTAAACATTTGTACCCTTCACTTTTTCATAAAGATGACCTTTTTACTTGCGAAGTGTGTCAACTTGCAAAACACTCTCATACATCTTATCCTTCTGTTGAGTATATACCATCCAGTCCATTCACAATGATTCATAGTGATTTATGAGGGCCGTCTCGCATCAAAACTATGTCCGGTAAACGTTGGTTCCTTCCCTTCACTGATGACCACACTAGGGTTTGTTGGGTCTATTTACTTAAAGAAAAATCAGAAACTGCATCAATCTTTCAACAGTTTCATTCTCTCATTCATAATCAATTTGAGAATTTATTTCTTCTCTCTTTTCTCGTATATTTCTCTCTGGTGTCTCTATCCTTAGTTTTTAAGAGCCTTCCATATTTCACACTTGACACAACTTTTCAAAGTAGTTGTAGATGCCTTAGGAATTGGCATAGTGTAAGACATCGAGCTCCTTCTCTGATTACTGTTTGATTAAAGAAACAAGCCCGAAGGCTATTACAAGCTACCCCATCGATTCGAGGGGTGGGTGACTCTCCTACTTTCCTTACTACGTAAGGTACAATGCCAAAAACAGACTAGCCCCCCTCAATGTGCGTCCTCCCCCTTTTCTATCGTACCTACCTCACTTCCCACAAAAATGGCAGATACTTTCTCTCTCTTGGCAGTTAGGCCTCTCCCTGGGCATTACCCATATTACTCCTTAGGTTATTTCCCAACTTACGCCTCCTAGAATATGTCAGTGTGATTGGGGCCCTAACAACTTCCCCATCGTTCAACAACACCTTGTCCTCGAGGTGGAATTCCGGAAATTGCTGGATCATATCAGCAACCGATTCCCACGTGGCCTCCTCCTCTGGTAATCCCTTCCAACTAAGCAGAACTTCCAAGTCCCCAGTAGTCTCATTTGTCTGATAGGTAAATACCACATCGGGTTCAGCTCTCCACTCCATTTCCTCAATCAACAATGGAGTCATAGTTTACACGACATGCCTATCTCCCTTAGCTTTCTTCAACTGCGAAATGTGAAATATAGGGTGTATCACGACCTCTCGGAGTAAAGTGCTAATATGCTACCTTTCCAATGCGTTTCTCAACAGGAAAGGGGTCGCAATACTTGGGACGTAGCTTCTCATTCCTTCTTTTTGCCAAGGATTTCTGTCGGTATGGCCTAAGTTACAAATAAACCATATCCCCCACTTCAAACTCCATCTCAGTTCGGTGAGCATCTGCAAACTTCTTCATCCGTTCCTGAGCCTGAGTTATAAGTGGTTCTTAATGGTTTCTATAGCAGCGTCATGATCCACTAGCCTTTTCTAGTGAGAAAACGGGAAAGTTCCACCAAAGCCTTTTCTAACCACTGCTAGGAAAGTTCCACCAAAACGAGAAAACGGGAAAGTGGTTCTTAATACAAAGGAAAATGCAGAAGTTCCACCAAAGCCTTTTCTAACCACTGCTGGAAAGTCGAAGAGAAATCTGAACATTCTTCCTAGAGTCTTTTATGAGAAAACGGTCAGTGTCACACCCAACCCAATAATAATTGTCTTGAATGCTGCAACTTCTCACATCCATTTGAAACCAAAAAAGGATAGTGAGCTGGTTGATGTGACTACGGTAACGACAAAGGAGAGGGTAGTGGATTAGGGTTAGGAGGGCGTTGGTGGCGGTTTAGGGTAGGAGGACGACGGGCCTGAATGTTTGGCCTTTCCTTCTCCGCACCCGCTCACGCTTCGCTCTCGCGGCCCGCACCGAAACAGTGCTTTACCCCTAGATGTCCAGTCAACTACTGCGCCTCAACGCATTTCGGGGAGAACCAGCTAGCTCTGCAACGTGATAAGAAACGTTGAGAGGACAAAAGCATATGAATCAACTGTTTCAAATGAAGAAGAACCACTAAAAAA